AGGACAAGTTGGAAAATAGTATGATCATTGTAGCTTTCTTTAACTCTCTGTGCCTAATAAAACGTCTTATTTCTTCTCTGTTGTTGGCCTCAAATGAGAGCAGCATTCCTGTTCAGAAAACATGCCCTTAACGTGTTCAACGTGCCCATCTGAAGTACCACTGGAATAAAAAGTACAGCAACAAAGTCACCAGCCCTTTTACATCCACTGCTTGGTTTGAGGCTTTTTGAGGAAAACCAGCATGTGCCTCTTTCACTCTGGATCTGATTAAGAGATGCCTCAGATGCAAGAGATACTTAGAATTCAGGGAGTTGAATTTTTCTCCAACTGCAAACCAAAACGTATGAATAATGCTGTTATTTGCAAGGCTGGTATAAACCTGGAAGAAGTCCACAAAGACGTGGGAACCGAGGAGTTCTGCCTCCTGTGTTCCTGCGACTGAATCCAGCTAAGCCACATTCGTTCACAACAACAACATTACAAGGATTTTTTTTCCCCTCAGAGGGAGATTTTTTGCAACATTACACAAGCTTTTAAGATGAAAACTTTATGCTGTGATGGGCAACCTGATCCAGCATCAAAATCAGCCTTGCTCTGAGCAGGGAGTTGGACCATATTCCCTCTGAGATCCCTTCCAGCCTAAATTGCTCTGTTCTGTACTTCTGTGATTGGATAAGTGGGGCTCAATTAATGAGTGAGATAGCTGAAGACTCCAGAATAAATTAATATTCTTGATGTTGTGCCTTGATAAAAAGATTGTGATATGAACTTTCCTTTAAGAGAATAAATCTCTGTGTTCCATATGAATTACAATGAAGATGTAATGATGTAAAATACAGTAGTTTAGTACTGCTTTAATTAGAAATGTCAAGAAAATGATACAAGTACAAAAAAATAATTGTCTCTGATAACAGAAATGAAAAGAGCATCAGTATGGGTCAAACCAAAGACTGTTCACCTCAAATCCTGGTGGTGTGGATGCCTTGGAAAGAGTGTAAGAACAGACAAGAATTTACATGCCCTGTCCCTATCTCTTGGCCTCCACTGTTGCCAGAGAAGGGCCAGAGGGAGAAAGCAGGCTGAGAGCTGAGCATGGCTACATTTTAATGTTATTTTCAAGACTGCAGTAGGAGGTACAAATGCTATGTTTTTAAATTAAAATAACTTCAATTGATTTGCTTTAACTAACAATTTGCTTTCAAGCCCTACTCTGCAGACATACAAGCTGAAGAAAACACTGGGCAGTCCTTTAGCAAGGAAAAACCTCTAGACAGGTGCACAAAAACTACACAGGGATATGAAGTTAGTCTAGATATTTGCCAGGTGAGGGAATACAGCTGTGTGCATCAGGAAACTAGAGCAAGGTCAGCAGAGGCCAGTGAGATGGTTGGGAGCTGGATGCCTGAGGATGCTTGCTCAGCCTGATGAAAGCAGACTTTGGGGGAGCTGGCAGGGCCCTCCAGTATCTACGATGAAGTCATCAAGATGGCAAATTTGGACTCTTCATAGTGGCACATGGTGGGAAGACAACAATATAAATGTAAACAGGAAAGGTTCAGACTAAATATAAAGAAAATGTTCTTTCCTCAGCAGCCAACAAGCATAAGAACAGGCTGTCCACCAAAGCTGGACAGTCTCCATCCTTGGAGGTTTTCAAGAGTAGGCTGGGTAAAACCCTGAACAACTGCATTTGGCCTCATCAATCACCTCAGCTGGAACAGGAGATTGGACAAGGGTTCTCCTGAGGTTCATTCTAAGCTGAATTATCCTACAGTCTTTTGACTCCCAGTTCATAGTTTTTAAAGCACCTACGGCATGTTTTCTCTCTGGCCTGATCCTTTGATGTTTTCTCTCTGGCCTGATCCTTTGTGTGATGTTAAAATAAATAGGTCAATCAAAGCGTGGATCCACCTTGCTTTTTACAAGAGTATGCATGGTGTAATCCTTTCACCCTTCACAGCTACCAAATCCTTAGTCCTGCAATGGTTTTCCTAACAACAGTATGGGATGTCGCATAGATTTTAACTAAAATCAGAGACAATCTGCTATTTCAGAATGAGCTGGTGCAGTAAGCACTTCTAAGATTTCACTTACACTTTGTTTACCCAAGGTGGTCGTATCAAAGTCCGAGGAATGACCCAAGCAGGAAACAAGTGAAGGCAGACACACCCTCTGTGGACTTTGTTTCTCCAGTAATACTTTCTCCTAGCTGACACACCTCTGCTGTGCAAGCAGATGGATCTTATTTGCTGTGATATATGAAGTTTTACTGAAGTTACATGTTAGCTCTTGTTTGAAAATGTAACATGGAAACTTTATAAACAAGACTAATATTTGTCATTCATTTTAACAATGTGTTCTGACAGGATTTGATATACGCTCTGGAAAAACCCATGCTTTCAGTCATACTCTCGGCTCCTCTGCACCACCAGAAACTCAGAGTCACCGCCGTTCGTCACCACCGAACTTTCTGTCTGGAGGCCGGCGTTTGGCGGCGCGGGAGGCGCGGGCACGGCCCCCGCTCCGTCCCCGCCGCTCGCCCCCCGTGCCGCAGGGAGCGCCGCGGTTTGCGGGGCCCTGCGCGTCCCTCCCCGCTTCCCCAGGATCGCGCACTGCCGTGAAATAGCTGCGAGGAGGGGGCGATGCGAAGGGCTCCCCCCGCCAGGGCGGCAGCGCGTTCCCATGGTGACGGCGTCCTGGCAACCGCTCCCGCTCCCGCAGCCCGGCCTGCGGCGGCCGCCCCGCTCCCAGCCGCTCCCATCCCATCCCATCCCATCTCATCCGCTCCGCGCAGCCGGCCGGGAGGGCGGGCGGACGGACGGAGCCCCGGCCGCGCACCGGCGGTCACGGCGCTGGGGAACGGCCGCTCCCGCGGCGGCAGCGCGCCCGGAGCGGAGCGGAGCGGGGCTCGGCTGGCGGCGGGGATGCGCGGGAGCGGCGAGCAGCCCTGCCCTGCCCTGAGCCAGCACCGGTGAGTGAGCGCAGAGGCTGTCCGGGCTCTGTCCCCCCGTGTTGCATGGCCATAGAGTGGTGTCTGCACCGCGGAGTCCTGTCGGCTGTCGTACACCCGTGTCCCCGCAACCTTCGCCGCGCCCACCGGTGACCCCCGCACCGCGGGGCCTGGACCCCCGGCGGGGCCGAACCGCGGGCAGGGCAGGGCAGGGCAGGGCAGGGCAGGGCAGATCGCTCCGCCGCGATTCCCCCGCTCACGGCGGTCGGCACGGGGCGGCAGCGGGGCCGCTCGCACCTATTTCTGCAGAGGGCCCCCGGCCTGGCTCGGAGCCCCCCGGCCTGGCTCGGAGCCCCGGGCTCGGTCACCGCGCTGCCGGCGCAGCCCCTCCGGCTCCCATCGCGTGGTCACGAGTGCCACGGCCGCGCCCAGGGGCTCGGCACGGGTCTGGTTCTTGCTGCCGCTGCCGGGCTCTGACCCATCCCCTTGCCGAGCTGCAGCACAGGGACTTTTCCGCTTACTCCGGAGCGTTGCCCCAGCGCACTTCAGAGTAACACTGGGAAGCATCTGGCGGCTGCCGGGGTGGTGCCGTCACACGCTCCCTGAGCAGCAACCAAAGCGATTTCTATTTTAAGAAGGAACGAGTGATTAAAGTGTTTGCCGAGGCAGGTATTTCAGTCTGCTTTGATTCCCGTGTGACTTGCGGCAAGTCACATAGCCCGCCCCGTGCTTCACTTCCCTACCAGCAACAGAAGGAAATTGTATTTTCAGGGATAATAATGCTTCCTACCTCACAGGCATGTTGTGAGAATGAATGTGAAAAACACTCTGAGGTGCGCAGACATTACAGCATTAGTTGTAGATTATCATGGAAGATAGGAAACTGAACACTAAAGGTATGATTGTCCTTCAAAGCAGGAGAAATGGAGATCCCACAGAAAATAAACATGCGAGGCAATCTGAGAAGTGGTGAAGGGATGCCACAGCACAAATAGCAAGGAGTGAACTGCACATTGGTAGAAGTACCTCTTCATCACATCCCATGGATGATTTCTTTTTTTTTCCCAAGCTTTTACACATCTTATGTCAATGATTTAAAGAAATAGTAAGGAAACACTGCACATTTGTATGGAAAATTTGCCTTAAGTATCAAGTGAACTGTTATTTTTGGTAATCAGGCATGTCGTTTCCAAATAGGAAAAAACTTGTATCTTGTCCATGTGCAAGTATATTTGGAATATTCAGTAACTTAAATCAGTCAACCTAAATTTACTGGGTTAATATATCATGACTTAAATTGCTTATAGCAGTGTCACGCAGGAAGCAACATTATTTAAAAAAAAAATTAGGCTCCCGTAAACCCTTATTTCAACTGGTATCTTACTCGACCTGTTTACTGCCATTGAAAGAGCCACGTGAAATTATACTCCTCTTTAGAACACCTTCTGGTTTCTATTTACTAGTGTAAGTTAGTATTACTGTCATAGAGAAGGAATTTGCCATTAGTTCTAACTCCTATTTGTTAATTGCAAATATCTCCAAACTGCAGCAAAGTTTTGTACAACTGCCAGCCAAAGTCTTAGACCCTTTCTGGCTGTTGGATCAGATCAAGAAATCTGATATCTGATGATGAGATGCTTCACTGTGTACTGAGCAAAGAGAAATGAATGAGAAGTTCATTTGTGTAACTTTTGTTTCATATCCACACTTACTCAAGATATTTCCATTTAGCTGCATTTCTTGTGGTAGACTAGCAGAAGGAGTTAAGACTTCATGCAAAACTATGCTTAGCTTGCTGCAAACATATTTTCTAATTGATAATAAATGGGTACTGAAGGCTGTGAGACTAAAGCACTGGCTGGTTTTGTAAGGTGTATTTCACTAAATTTCACTAAGATGCTGCTAGATGTATGGACTCTAATAGTTGTTCTTTGTTTTTCTAGGTAGGATCCAGTGTTTTGCTCCTGCGGTGCACATATCTCTTCCCAAATCAGTGGGATAATTCCTGTGTTTACAGCTAAATTATGCTTAAAAGCTTCAATGCATCAAGATGGTTAAGATGTGTTAAGGCCCAGAGGTCTCAGGCCCACTGAGAACTGGGTGCCTGGTGGTGTGACCAGGAGGGACCCCTTGCTGAGTGCTGGCACTCCTTAAAAATCCAACAACTGGGAAATGACGAGTGTGAGGAACAGACTGCAGGACTGGACATTCAGTGTCTGTGCAGCACTTTGAATGCAGAAGTCACCACAATGACCCCCATCTCTTATACTGTGCTTTTTACTTATAGCCATGTAAGACCCTAAACAAGGAGGTAGGTATGGTTATCTTTCTTACACATAGGGAAACTGAGTCATTACTCATGAAAATAATTGTTGTCCAAAGTCAACAGGATCAGAGATTGAGCAAGGAATTCAATTCAGACCTTCTGAATTCCTGTCTGGTGTCACTGCTGCTCAGCAACCCAGCTTCTCTTAAAACTGTTTTTTTTCTAATTTGTAGTTTCTGAAGCACTGTGCTATAAATAGAACACACACACTGTGACAATGTTTGCTCTCTGCTTTCAGGCAGTGCTTTCATACACTGCTAAAGCACAAACATGCTTTGCATTTTGAGATCTCAGAGGATAGCCCTATTGCTCCTTCACTATCGATATTTGACTATTGTATTTCCATAACCCCATCTTTCTCAGATTGCACAGGATTTCATCAGCAATTGTGAGCTTCTTTTCATACACCAGCCTTTATTTTGCAGTGAGGATTTTAGGTTCCCAAAGAGATCAGGCTCAGGCCATGCTACTTCTCTTTATACTTAAAAATGTTTTTTGTTTTATGTAGGGGAGATTTGTTGGATTTGATTGAGGCTAATATATTTTTCATTGATTTCTGTCAGTGGACAAAGCTGCTGAGCCAGGTACTGGTCTCACACTAAGACACTAAAATATCTTTCTGAAGCTATTTAATAGACCTACTCTGCTGCAATGTCTGTCACAGTCTGGCTGTCTGTGTCTAAAAATTAAAACCAGAATTTATATTCTTACCACAGAAGAATTTACTTACAACCTAAAGTGTGGTCATTTAGGTTTGAAGACAAATTAATACAAGACTCAGTTTTGATAAACTATGCTGATGTCACACATTTTATTTAGGTTTCTGATTGCCAATGCTTTTATGAGAAAAACATTTTACCGCTAATAATCTGCTGTCATGAAACACTTGTATTTGATTCTCCAGTCAATATTTTCTTAACTTTTATGATCATCCTGTAGACATTACTTTTTTATTAATTGATTAATTATATCAGAGACCAGTAGAAGATTGGGGACGAGAACTTTCTTTGCCTCTGCCCTGCCAAACCAGTTCTATGGGTCAACAGCAGATTTCAGTTTCAAGGCTGTCAACCTTGTCTTTTCAAGAGTATCACTTTCACTATAACTTTTTAACTATAAAGCTTTTTAGCAATTTTTAGTCTTCATTCTTTTGTATTAATTTTTATTTGCATTTATTGCATTAGCAATATTTGGATGCCAAGATCACCAGTGTCAGCATAATATTATACTTAACTTAAAGGTGCACTGAAAGCAAAAGCTTTAAGTCATTTCAGTACCAGATATAAGCTATTCAATAATTCAATTTGTACTTTTTCAACAGACGTAAATTATTGACCAGAGAATGGCCCACCGAAGCCCAATCTTCCCAACTCTTGCCCCTTCTGAAAGGTACAGTCTGGAATATAAAACCAAAAATCTTCATGATGCAGAGTATTTATGTATCTCTTAATTCCCTATATACAGTAATGCTGTGACCTGGGACTTTGGCATTAGTGTGCAATGCAAAGTGAAATACCATAGACATTCAAATCATAGCCCAAATGACAAAGCCTTACTCAGCTTTTATTTAGCCCTTCCCAAAAAAATTCAATAGCTTAAATCTTACTGACTAGAAGTCCAAGAACACTTTAGCCAGTGTTCAAATAGCATAGAATGAGTTGTGAAAACACAGAGCCAAAAGTGACCTTTGTTGGAACCCTCATACATCTCTATCAATAAGTCCTCTCTTTCAGCCTAGGTGGAGAAAACTCTATGGTATATTCTTCCAGGGCAAGGCCCTGGGGATTTCCCTGAAGGGTTCAAAGGATTCCACCACCATGGTCAAACTGAACTGCTCATTTGGCTCATTAACAGGAAACAACATGAGAATACACAGTAAATAAGAATTCCTAGAAAAAATATCTCCTTTTCTGAAGTGGGGTTGAACTTATATCCTCTACTTATGCTTCTGAAAATGTTGTTATTCTTTACAGAACATAGTGGCAGGAGAAGATTGCATGCATTAGCAGACTCATTTTATTACTTTCAGCACCCATGAGCTCCACTGCTTTCCATGGGAGCTATGCAATGCAGAGCACTCTTCAAAAATTTAGATAATTATTCAAGGTGCCCAAATGTAAGCTATTTTGAGGGGAAATTTAACTTCTAAGACTATGAGAAACTTGTCATAAATTTGGTCTCACCTCAGTTTCTATGCCCACATATGCTCCTGTCCAGTTTGCAGGGGAACAAGCTTCTGTATGGTATTACAGGCTAGCTATAGAGACAGAAAAGGGATTGACACAAGCTACTCCTTTTTAATTCTGATCTGGTTTAATTTAATTTACAATACCTACCTTCAACTACAGTTTTGATTAAGCCATTAAGCCTGAAAACTGTAAAGACAAATAACCTTACTTTTGAAACTCAGTAGAAGGGTTTGAATTTGGATTCTTAATGAAATTATAGTTCTGATTTGTAACTACTTTTATCATGCAAACGCCCTTTCCTTAAGATCCCATGCTTTTGTAAGCTTCCTTAAAGACCATGAAGAAAAGCCTGACCTGCCTTTGCACAAGACACACGGCCGACACAGCAGCACTTATTTGTAGCAGTGGACACTGTCTGGGTGTATTTTGGGGCCTCTCCCCAGCACTGCCAGTACTCAGACAGTGTCATACTGCCTTCAGTGCAAAGGCATTGCAGAGTTTGGTGTGACAGCTTAACAAGATGTGGCCATTCTTGCCCCCCAGACGGGTCCGAAACATCCCTCTGCACAGCCAGGCTCTGACAGCGGTGCCGCTGGCATCGGCCAGCCTGGTGGATCAGCTGGAGGACAGAATCCTGAGCCATGAGAAAACAACGGCAGCTCTTGTGGAGCACGCTTTTCGCATTAAGGAGGACATTGTTTCCACGCTGCACAGAATGCAGAACAAAGGGGGGGGTGACCGGTTGGCAAGGCAACTCCTGGAGGAGCACATCCGAAACATAACTGCGATAGTGAGGCAGCTCAACCGGGACATCGAGGTATGGCAGGAATGTTGCACAGCACTAATGCCATCTCAGCTACTTACTGCTTCTCATTTCCTAACAAAGTTTACCACGGGATAAGTAAAGGTCAGACAAGGTCTGAAGATCCTGTAAGCTTACAAATTGTTTTTACAACTTGAAAAAGTGTTTGCAAATTACATAATTCTTTCGGTGGCTATGAAAATAGCACAGGATATTAGCATATAAACACAGGAGCCTTTGTGGTTCTAATAAGCTTGCTTGCAAAAGCTGCACTGGAAAATCTTGAAAAAATGAATTAATGTGACACTAATACCCAGCTCAACTTCAGTCCAAAGGCTGTGCTGTATAAACACGAGGAAATGCCTTCGCTCTATAATAAACTTTCTTTCCCTTCCGACTCACTGACGACACGAAGTAACCAAACCCAAGTGCTCATTTTTATGACCTAATCCTAGGCAGACACATGACTTCATGTCTGACCTCTGCTGCAGTGAACAACAGGGGTGTGGTGGGGAAAATGAAAGGAGAAAAAAAAAATTAGGTCTCCATTTCACTGCCAAGTTATACTTTATATATATTGTGGTAGTTGTGTGCAGACTGGACACTAATAATAAGAAATAATAGAATACCTCAAAGGTATCTGGTTTAGTACATTACAAGACAAAGCTTTGAATAAAGTAATAATAAAATGGTATCTGAGGATACTGAATTACTGAGAAATAATGAGTGACATTTAAAGTGTACATTAAATGTGACATACTGAGTTTTTATTTGCATATGAATGTTCTGTAGATGCTGCAAGAACAGATACGTGTCAGAGACAATCTCAGCTATGGAACAAACTCTACCCTGAAGAGCCTTGAAATGCGGCAGCTTTCTGGCCTAGGAGATCTTCGGGGAAGAGTTGCAAGGTAAAAGTCCCCATGGAACTGTGTTTTGGGGGCTAGCTAATTTTGTTTTAATCCTGAAGTGTTAATGATAATGGGTTGAATTCAACTTTGGCAAAATTCCAAGGATAATTTTGCTCTGCATTTTCAAGAAAATGAATAATAATACTTTGCATTCCAGTCTTACATATTAAATTTGGCAATGTCACCCTTCATTCCTAAAATTCCTGAAATTAGTTCTAAATAAATGATTTCAAATTCCCTGGGAAATTGGATTTGGTTCAGCTTTTAAAAAGTACTGTGGTTAGACTCGTGTCTTTGAAACAAGTTAATTAGCACAATTATAAAGGCAGCACGGAACAATCTGCACTTGTGAAGAACAAAACAGTTGCACATTTTTGCATATATTTTAGAAGTAAAAATCTGCACATTCAGTTAGTGGTTAGCCATATTAAATCCCACATGGGCTACATGACACATAAGGAACAGAAAACTGTACAGTAACAGAGGTTTTACAGGCTGCCCAAAGCTCCTGGTTACAATTCTGCAGCCACACAGACTTCAGCTGTGCCATCAATGACAAATTTACAAACCCCAGCACAACAACATTTGCTTAAGTGCCTGTAGAGTTGAACATGAAAGACAGAGGATGTGCACAGTCCCAGGAAAAGGACATAACCTGGCCTAAAGCTGCTTGTGTAACAACTTTGGTGGAGTTATATTTGTCCTGAATTTGACCTGTTGTCTATATTGTGCAGATAATTTTCCTTCCTTTTCTGCATGTCACCTGATTTAGTGATAACCTTCAACAACTTATAGAAATAATCAGAGAGGGATTTTTATTGAACTAAGGTTTTCTCATCAATTACTCAATTGTCTGAAGCTTCCACTGTAATTTTCATAACCCATTTTGTATAAAATACTTTAGAGGTTTCAAAAAGAATTAAACAGTTAGTAAGTTATGCACTATCCTTTAGCGAATGCAAATGAACTAGTTTATTTTTTTCATATCAGGAAATTGATGGAAAAACCTATAGAGAGATACACATACATGTATTTATCCTGCTGAGAAGTCCCCCCAAAATGTAAATGCTTAGATCTTCCTGCTTCTTTCTGTAAAAATACTGTGAGATCATACTACATCCTGAGAGGGGTTCTGTGTGGAGCAGCACTGTTACTGACACCTTGGGAGGCAAAATGTGGTGCCTTTGCCCTCAGGGAACTCCAGAGAAGCTGTGCTGCCGTGGGTGTGACTGCAGGGCCCTGTGGTGTGGGAGACTGGGGATGGGCACAGGCTGTGCCAGGGCTTCTTCCTTTACTTCCTTAGGGCACCACCCTTGTGCTGTGCCTGGGTTCAATTTATCTGCAAATGGAATGAGATTATACCCGTGTGCCTTCTGTCAGACTGTGTGATGAATGCAGGTTATTTGTATTCGTTCCCATAAGAGGATCAGTTTATTGCCCTTTAACTGCTACCTTCCATACTGCATTCTATGCTTCTATTCAGCATGTTCTCTTAAAAAAAAATCCCTGAATGAGGAAAAAAAAGTCTTCCCTTTATGAGAGAAAGCTATTTACCTTTATTTGCAGACATATTCTACTTTGAAATTAGTGTTCCAGTGAATACTGATTATATCACTAGTTGGAGATTATGTCAAGACAGTGGTTTGTTGTGCCTTTGGCACAACACAGAGAAGTTCCCTGAGATAAGCACCTTCTGATTACTTTAGCCAATGTTCCTTCTATAAAATACACTTTACTCACCTAATGTAATTTTACCTCTAGTGCTGCTAGCTTCCAGATGAATTCAGAGTGAAACACTAGAAACACGATCAAGTTAGAGTGGGTTACCAACTTCCTGTGCATCAACTTTCAGCAAAGGTACATTGAGAGGCTGCAGTAGCTCTGAGTGCTGTGTTTGCTGCAGGCTGGCAGCATGCAGAAGGACAGTGGGAATCAGTTTAGAAGTAAATCCCAAAGCATGAGCCCCTTGTCATGTAATAACTTTAGTGTCCATCTTAGGATTCTGGCCAAATTTCAGTTCCAGTAATTTCATGCATACTAAACATCCTATTCCAGTTCCATATTGGAGAGAGGGGTGTTTGTTTCCTAACACCAGCTGTTCTGTAACATGTCAATATGTCATCAAACAACTGTCTCATTATTTCTTGAGGGCTGGTGCTATTAATGATGGGAACAAGGGATCCCTACATGCACATGCACTTCTGAAGCACAGCCCCAAACCACCCTCCCCACTGCTCTGCAGGAGTGAGATTCCAACACCTCACTCACATCACAGAATCAACTAATACTGCTATCAGAAGGTGACAGACTACACATTACAGCTCATGACTCTGGATCCTTTCTCAATAAGCACAGTTTACTGATGAATTTGTAAAGTGTTATCACAGCCCTGAATTATTGCTAAAAATCAGCATTATTATTAACTTTAAGAAAAAATATTACCTCTATAAAATTCAGCAATGCATTAGCAGAAAATTAGATCTATGCCAGTAAATCATATTCTTCAGCCTCCTGTCTCTTATGTTGTCAATTTTATATTATACAGATTTACCAGTTCTTTTTCAAGTGATAACAGATCATAAAATTCATTAGTGCCTTATCATTTATTTAGAGAATTACTTGTGGATAATGAGCATTTGTCTGGAAAGTTTTAATCCAGCAGTCTGGTTGGAATGATAGCAGTAGCTCTTCATAAAAGCTTCCTGAGAGCTGAAACATCCGGAGAAATAGCAACTGTGTGTGTTCAAATTGGACCTACTTTGCATATATAGATGACTTTTTTATCTATATTATAGATGATTCATTTCAGACAACCTGGACTCATTACACGTAGGCAGGTTTTCCTGCTGCACAGATTATGAGTCTGATGCATCTGGGCTGCACCACAGTGACAATGTCCCCAGGAGCAATAAATGTGCTGCTCTCTGGCCCTTGCTGTGTGGGAGGTGGCACCACGAGGGCAGCTCTGGGCTCCCTGCCCCAGGCCAGCACAATCCACCAGCTCTGCTGCTCTTGCCCAGTGCCCCACTGGGCATTTCAACTTGCTTTTCACTAACTGTTCTTCAGCTACTCGTTTTTCACTGGCATTTTAATTGAAACACCTCCTGTTATAATAAACCAGGAGCATTAAAAACTCTCTCTATACCATACAACATATGCATATAGCAGCCAGCTGCAGAGTACTGGCACAGTTCTCACTTTATCTATGCCCCAGTGATACTGAATGGAGCAGCTACTTGTCTTTTGGTTTCTTTGATGCTGAACACAAATATTTTCTTCCAGGCTAAAACCAATCATGTTTGTGAGTGTGTACAATAGTTATAGAAGATAAACCAAAATAATCTGATCTATGCATACCAGGCAGACATTAAATTCACATAGTCAGAATATTGATGTTTCAGTTACCACGGAACTACATGAACCCTTTGGCCACATAACTGAATTCCATGAAGAAGAGAGATGCTCTGTGATTAAACCCAAAACACTAATTTACTTTAAAAACATTCACAGGTGCTTGCTGATTAAATTTGCTTCAGTAGTTTCAAAGCTGTTGCTCTGTATATTTTCTGCCATGCCTCAGAGAAACAAAACTGAGCATTTTTTGGAGCCCACAACCTTTTGGTGACTTGATTCAAGATGATTCCATTTCTCTGATTCGCTCTGATTGCAACAACATGGAGAGATTTGGCTTCTCTCATCTTTCTAAAGAAACTGCCTGATTGAGCCCTACAAGCTTTTCACTGCTATGTAAACCCTAGCCAGGCTTCCTGCAGATATTACTACTGGGTCTCACAATGCTGAACACTAGAAATTAATTTCCTCAAGTTTTATAATGCCTATGTCCTATTTTACATTACTGATTATTTTTATATTGAAACTGTACCATAATAATAAGCAGATGTTCCTTTTGTCATTTTAGCTGTGACTTTCCCTTCATGTTTAATGATAATGGCAATTCCTGTAACTGAGGTAATGAAAATGCATGTTGAAATGAAAGCTTTCAAACTGAAATGTGACTAAAAAGATGACAAAGTATGTCATTGGTTTAGATAATGACTTAACATGCCTCAGCTTGTTCTATTTTACTGCCTTTTTCTCCCTCAAATTGTAATTGTTGTCTGTTCCTCATCAGTTTCCTATATCAAATTTGGTAACACTGATGATTACACATTTCCCTTAGCAAAAAAAAAAAAAAAAAAAAAAAAAAAAAAAAAAAAAAAAAAAAAAAAGAAAGTGAGTCATACTTCACAGAGGTCTTACTCCTGAAATCACAGTACTCATTTTTTTACAGCTCAGTTAATGCCCTTACTGCATGACTGTAGATGAAATCCAACTGATCAAATTATTTTTAAAATCTGGTAGAAAACACACATGTTCTATAGCATATTTATCCTGAAAATGTTACTGCTTTAAGAAGTGTTCCAATGTGACAAAAGGAAACAATAATTATTATGTTCCAGGACTTCATTTTACAAGCTTTTCTGAGACAAAATTGCCATTGCTTTCAATGACAATTTATTTATTCACCTAAATAAAGACTAAGAACCATAAAATTTGCCCCACATTGTTTACTACACGTATTAGCTGTGTACTACCATTTCACAAATAAAAATGCAAAGGTACAATAATGAAACAATGGTCCTCAGTTATTTAGGCTATTAATCATGTAGGGGAATGAATATCAGTCATGTAGGGGAACCTCATCAGATATCTTCTGGAGCTTTAAAAAAGACACAGAAATGAAGTTCTGCATCTTCGCATTTCTGATGTGATTTCCCTGAGTGATAACACAGCCTACCCATATCATGTCAGTGCCAAGAACAATGGGATTTATTCATCAGACTATTTGACCTTCAGACCTATTTGGGAGCACTTCTCTGAACACTATGAGATGTATTACCATTCTTACAGTCTCAAAGACATTGCTTCTCTGGCCAGCCAGGGATTCCACAGAAATGGCCAGTATGAAATGGGTAATTTTAAAAGCCTGGACCTTATATTCTATTTGGCTGGTGCTTTGTTTTTTATCTATTCAAACAGGTGTGATGCTGGGTTAGCCAGGCTGTCTGCAGAGCATAAAATTACATATGAAAGACTTCAAAGTCTAAGTAAAGACCAACACACCTCCAAGCTGATCTTAGAATCTAAAATCAAAGAGGCAGAAATACAGGTATGGTATTTAGACCAAGGCAATCCCTGTACAGGTAAGAATTCTAGTCTAATTCACACTGACTCCATAATTGTTAATTATTATCCTGGGAGGTCACAGATTTCCAAATGGAGAGGTGTATCAGCTCAATCCTTATTACACTGAACGTTGTACCTAGGTGCATTGCTGTACTACTGCTCTAACTAGAAAAGGTCCTTAATTTCTTCCTGCAGCATCTGTGTAGAAGGGGTTAGTATGTGAAGGCACATGCTCAACAAAACTACAACAATACAAGCCTCTGTGTCTTTCACTGTTTATTTTGGCCTTCCCAGGATGATCCTATATGTATTTGAACACAATTTTTGAAGGTGTGCAAAACAAAACTGGCTTTGGGTTCTGTGAATCCATTAATCTGTCTCTCAGGTTTCTCTTCCATTGGATTTGAGAATGGAAGTGAGCACTAGACACAAGCAGAGACTTGGAGATATGAAGAATCCTTTTCCTTAATGTCACATCTCAAGGCCTTCCCATTTTCTCGGCCAACAAAAGTATTTTACATCTTCCTTTTGCAGTGGGTAAAAAAAAGGCTAAAATGCACTTTGCCTTTCTCAGAAGGCTCAGTGTAGTATATTAGCATGCCAAGAGCATGTTGTCATGCATCTTTCCATTTTCTCGGCCAACAAAAGTATTTTACATCTTCCTTTTGCAGTGGGTAAAAAAAAGGCTAAAATGCACTTTGCCTTTCTCAGAAGGCTCAGTGTATATTAGCATGCCAGGAGCATGTTGTCATGCATCTTGTAGGGAACCAGAACAGTATGCTTTGAGAAAGTGGGATGGCTGTTTTGGTGACAAATATTCTCTTGTAGTTAGGACTTCTCCCCAGCTGAACCCAGCACTTCTGTCACTGCAGTGGCCCTTACACACAAAGTGATGCAGCACATCTCTCAGTATTGGTGGAATGCTTGGGCACTTGTTTATTTTGGTTATGTGGCAACTTGGAGATGTATGGATCCTGAAAATTCTGCTGTCTAAAGGGGGACCAGGCAGAGATTTTCAAGGCAAAACTATTCATATTATTTAAGGCAAAAAAATTTAGTTTTCAAAATGCTAATACTTTCATATTGAGAGATAGTATATTTTAATTATAAAGTAAAATATGCAAATTCAATAATTTTTGAAATGTTAGCAAAAGTGAGCTCTCTGTTAGACCTCCTCTACTGTTATGAAAATGCCTCAAATGAAACAGTGATGAAATGCTGTTGAAAAATAGTGAATTTTGAATTTTGTTTCAGATTTCTCATCTGCTGAGCAGAGTAGAGCAATCGATAATGCAACAAGAAGCAAAGCTGAAGATTGCCTACAAAGAGAGCAACCAACAGCTGCAAGTTCTGGACACAAAGTAAGTGCCTGGGAGGCCTTGCTGCTGCCATGTACCTTGGGAGTAGGACCTCTGTTTTCCCAGTCTGACTGGTGTAATCTTCAGGCCTATAAAAGCAGGAACCTCTATGAATATGTGTGTTTGCTCCACAGATATTACAAAAGCTGACTGTCAAGAGGGACTTGCTTTCACCCCTAATGTGGTTAGGCAATTCTGAAAAGTTGATTAAGTTCCTGGTTAAGTATTCAGGCAGAACTTATATTAAAGGACACAACTAAGAGTTTTTTGTCAGAGTGGCCTGGTGCCTTTCTGTAAGAACTGTCTGAAGCAATGAATGCTGGAGGTGGCTGTCCAGAACAGGGGAAAAAGTTCAGCTGAAGCAAGCAGGAAGCAAGTCACAGCACTCATAGAGTGCTACTGCTTTAAACTGGCTTCAAACATGAATATAACTGAAATACCTAAATTATTAGTGATTAGATACTCTGTACTACCAAACATAACATGGGGTCATTGTATTCAATTCAGATGTTAACTCCTCTCCAGGCATTTCACTCAGTAGCAGTTGTGGTATAAGCCATTTCTTACTGCTTATCACCATCCTCATGCAATGCAGGTTTCACATATTCACTGGAGAACAGAAACAGTTTCACTGGCACAATTGGTTGGAGTAAAGTTGAGGTGGGTATAGACAATGTAAGTGGAGCTACAGGAACCAGCACTGTCACCAGAATGAGTGGCTACCAAATCTTTGCTTGGATTTGATACATATGGGCATAAAGTTTATAATCTGAATGGATGACCATATTCTGTTTTAAATGTCAAAAAGAATTTTCATCTACTATGGTTCAAATTTTGTAATGTGTTTCATATAGATTTGTTGTGAACTTCTACCTTTGTTTTCTAAACCAGTGTTACCACATCCAGTTTAATAGCCTCAAAATTCAAAGGCTCGCCTTAATATGGTGTGAAGAATGTATTAAATTGCCATTTTGTGTTTTTATGAACACGTTCATAAAAAAGTCACTGTTGAATGACCAGCTCTTCTCTTTTGTATCTGCTAATTTCTGTTGTGCCCCTAGATTAAAAGATGCTGTTGAGGAGCTCAGCAATCAGATTTTGTCTGCACGGAGCTGGTTGGAACAGGAACACGGAAGGACTGAGAAAGAGCTTGTACAAAAAATCGACCAACTCTCACTGACTTTTAAGGAAAGCACTGTAAGTTTCATTCAAATGTCCTGTAATATTTCTCAGGAAGCATTCAAAAGCACTATTAATAACTAAGATGATATAACTGAGATATTGTTTGAGTGAGATTTTCAGATAGAATATGGCCTCAGAATATGCCAAAGTCTCTTCATCGATATCAAGTGTAACGCCTACAACTTGAGAATCTTTAAATAAATCTGGTCACTGTTAAATAGATCAGTATTTTAACCTACACTAATCAAGTAATTTCAAATGATTTAATGAAAATTGTAATTCCTTACATTTTAAATTCCAGATAAAATATGATAAATCAGTATCTATTTCATATATTTAAAATACCACTGTTATCCCACATGCAGAGTAAATAATTAAAATTCTGTTTCCTGGCTCCAGGAAATGAGTGAGAGAGGTATTGAGATGAAATTCAACCAAATGGCAGAGAAAATTGAGAGAATAGAAGAAATGCAGAAGATAACCATGGAGGCACATGAAGCAAAACAGACTGAAGAAAAGCTAAATATTCGCATTGTCAAACTTCAAAATGAGATAAATGAAGATATAAAAGAAATGAAAGCTGAAGTCAATGCTGGTAGGACCATAGTTATCCAGTTCTTTATTCTGAATTGTGGTGACAGTGATCCACACATACTAATATGCAAAACGTCTTTGCTTGTATCAAAGTAGCTTAAATACTTTTGGGGTAGATGTAATGGCTACACCTGTGGCATTAAGAGGGATTTTCACTAAGTGCAAAAAGCAGAGCAATAAGGGGTGACCACCAGCTTAGAAGTGCTCTCCCCAAAGCAGGCACAGCCATAGGTGGGCTGCTATCAGGGCATTTCTGCCTTCAGCACACAGTTACACCCCATTAGCCTTCAGAACTTTTGCTGAGTTCCTGGTGCAAAGCAGAGCATTATGAAGTGCATTCTGCTAGCAATGATGTGATACTTTGCTCCTCATGATGAACTAATGTCATTCTCACCTGCAATTAGGGTTTGCAGCTATCTATGAGAGCATTGGCTCCCTACGGCAAGTTCTAGAAGCAAAAATGAAGCTGGACAGAGATGAACTACAGAAGCAGATCCACCAAATGAAGCAGGAGGTTCCAAGATGGGGAGAAGCTGGACCATGACTTCAAGATTTTGTCTGAGAGATTAGTGTTTACCAGGCTAACTAGGCAAACTCTAGTGTTGTTCCAGTCTGTAATGCCAATTACCTGCATGTACCAAATGACATGCTGCTGCTGCTGCTGCTGCTGCTGCTGCTGCACAGGGATTTGCTCACAGCAGTAAATACAAGCTGTTCTTGGATCACTGGCAATGAGCCTGTGGAGCTGAGGTGCTGCTTTGCCACTGCACTACTCCAGTTGCTGTCAGGAAATTTAGCACTGTGTAAAACTGGAGTAATACACTGGTGAAGCTGGCACCTAGTTTGCTAAAGGCATTCCAGTTTTGCAGGCTTGATCAGGCAGCTATTTGCTTTTATATGCACCTGCACCCCTCCACCTTAAAAAAAGGAAAAAGGTAAGTTGCTATCATTTGCTTCATATGAATTTGGCAAGGTTCTCCACCTTGATACAAATTACTTAGTTGAAATCAATGGACATTTTTACAGCGACTTTCTCTACTATTGACTTCCTGGGAAGACAGAATTGGCACTAAACAGACCAATCTTCAAAATCAAGACAACATCTGAAAATCTTTGTTTAGGTTTGCAAATATTCTGTGTGTGAAAAGTAGGTAGTGTTATATAATGTAGCTGTAGACTTAGATGATTCATAAACAACATAAGAAACAACTTACATGGTCTTTAAGTATTGTAACCTTTTAAAATTAATAAGCAAGGGGAGGTGACACAAGGTAAAGGATGTATATAGGGTATTTTTTACTAGGCATGTGTTCCTATGACTTACTTCAATATATTGATAAAAACTTAGAGTGGTTTGAAAGCTAAAGAGAAGGTGATAATCTAACCTAGTCTGGAGACTCTAATGTAAAATAAAATGCAGTTTATGATCTCCTTAGAAATTTTCATTGAAGTAAAAAAATTGATTCATCATATTTTAGTAGACTTTAATAATTTAGCACACTCAAATTGCTAATTGCATTCACATTGTTTCCAGATAATAATTTCCATTCCCAGAAGAGATTACAGATGAAAATCAGTACCCATGTGGCATATTATCTAGACAGAAAAAAAATATATGTTGTTTTTACTTCTTTATTCCTGGCATGATATATTGCTCCTCACGTTTGTAAGCCACGCAGGATTAAACCCTCATGAAAAAATAAAAGACTTTATCCAGCATCCTATTAATTTCTACTATTAACAGTAATTAATACACAAACCCAATATTAATTGACAGAATTTACAGTATTGTTAATCTAAATAAATTAGTAGGATGTCTCTACACTGCCCTTAATCAACATTTCATTGAGCTAGTATTGGAAAAATATATTTTTAGTTGGAAAATCAGTGGCAAATATTACTTCCATAAAAGACATTTTGGTCCACAGAGTCACCATATATAAAATAAAGAATTTTAAAAACTACTTCAAGAACTTACAGTCATTAACTTCAGTAAGTCAGTGTAGAATGTAAAAATCATGTAAATGCATACATCTTTGCAGGATTAACACCTAAGTTTGTATTCACTTCCTCTACAGCTGAAAGTCATTGAAGTCTCAAAGACACATTAAGCATTTGCAGCTCTGGCTCCCAATGCTCTCTGATACAAACCAGGAATACCAGAGGCAGTTTTGTTATCATCCACGTCCTGTGAAATATATTTACAATGGCAGCTAAGGGGAAAGCCCAGTTCCCTAAACAGAGACAATTAAATGCTTGTAGATATTTCTCAGGAATTGTCTTTAAAATTTAATCTTACTTCCTGTACGTATTCCCATCTATTCCTAAATATTTAGCCATGGGCAGTAGAAAAGCTATCACTGGTATTTTATTAAAAAAAAAAAAAGAAAGAAAAAAAAAGAAAATAACATAGAAAAGAGACAGACCAAAACCAGAATAATTTTTAAATTCTGTAATTGGAAGTCTGTACCCGAGAAAATCTGATATGACATGAAGAGCATACAAGGAATCAGAAACATTTATATAGGACTTAATTAAATTGTTTCTCTTGTAAAAATCTTGTGTGATTGATCCAGATATAAAACAACACAGGAAACCCTATCCAATTTTACTTTTTTTCTGCCTTAAAAATATTTCTTTCCTAAATCTCAGCTACACCAAATAAGTAAAAGCCCAAATAAAATAATACTCAGCCTAGTGCCAAGCAGTGTCTCCAAGCTCTGAGTGCCAAGTGGAGGGAGGCCCAGGCCAGCCTTGTCTTGTTGGGATTGTCTGCCAGGGAGTGCTCACATGTGATAAGCCAGTCCTTCAGGGGAGATTTCAGAGTGGCTTCTGAGGACTGGAGTATCCTCTGAGCATCTTAACATGCCAGGGCAAAATCCTCTCCTCAGGCACAGCTTCCCCTGAGGGGAACAACTGGGAAGGCACCAGGGCAGTGCTGCAGACCCAGCTGTGGAACCTTGGTTTTGCCAAATGGAAACTGATTCTGAAAACTGACCCACAGGGATCTTGTAAAGACACATAGAAGGAAAGAGCAGTGCTTGGAAGCACAGCTGCCCCTTTTTTTTCCTTCCATGCTGATGTCCAATGAGATTCCTGTGTTCCAGTCCTTCAGGGACACCAAGGTCCACTTTTGATGGTGGAAACAATGTGCTTTCTTTGCTCAGCACAAGTGCTCATGGCTGTGAGGCTGGGTGTGTGCACCAAGTGCAAGCCTGCCAAGACCACAAAGGAACAAGGCAGTGAGGTAGTGTTTGTGTGGATGGCACTTCAGCAACAGAATGAGACTTGGGAACATATAATAGATGGGCACAAAATACTATTTAAATCACAAAATTCACTGACACAACCATAAACTCACTGAAAGAACTGGGAGGAGCCTTAGGAAGTCATCTGCTCCACCTCTCCACTTTGAAATAGATCCAACTCTACCTAAAATATTTGCCATAGACACTTCTGTAACTTGCTTATAACAATATTTTAAGAATAAGGCATTGATTAATGCAGTCTATTCCACTGCTTAAAGAAGACTGCCTTGTCACCCAAATACCTAAACTAGGACAAGACATAATAGCCTTAAATTTCAAGCACACAGGATACAAAACGCAATCTATTACATTTTTTCCTGCATGTTCATTAGTTTTTTAAGGCAATCTGTGTATAACAGATGATTCAAATGAAGCTTCACAGGGATGTTTGCCCAGTATTTCTTAATTTTTTCTCCTTCCTAGACCCATATAAAACCCACCAAACCAGCAACACCAACCCAAAGAAACCACCACCACCACAAAACCCCCAAAAGAGCCAAAAGCAGACCACTTGCTCTCATGAAGTTTTAAAATCTTTGTCAGCTATTTCACGTGCATGAGGCTTAAATCACTTGCAGTGTGCAGACCATACTATTCAGTCAGCTATGTAGCACATACTGAGTGCCATAAGTTAAACTCATTGGAAAATGGTCAACTGGGGTCCATGGCTTTTACATTAGCATGTGATAACACAGTAGAACCATGGTACTGTGCAGTGAGGACTTGGCTGGAATCAGAATGATGGCAGTAATTACAGAGCAATTGTGCTGTTTATACTCATTAAATAAACCAAAGGAATGGTGCAAGTAAGAAGTTCAAAGGATGACCCTAACTTCCACCTGCAGTTGTTTATGTAGTAAGTTTTGTGTTGTGGATACCTTTATATTGTGGATATCTTTGTCATTACAATCTGATATAGTTGAATAGACTGTTGCCATGTTAGAGAAAAGCAGTATGAATGATAATGAAGAACAGTATATTCCTGTAACATCAATTTAAACTGAAATGCAAAATTTTCTTTTCTCAATTTCTGTTTTATGTTCCACCTCCACGAGCATCTGGCCATCTGGGGCAGAGTGTTCTCTGTAACTAAGAATTAAAGTGCTCATTAGACATGTCTTCCAATAATGGAAACGTCTAATATGAGACAGATGACAATCTGATGAAGCCCTCCTGTGTGTAGGGGAGGAATTCCTCCTGTGACACTCCCTGCAGTGTAAGAAATTCGGAGGCAAATTTGAAAGAAACCAAGGAAATTGGGTGCACGGCCTCTACTCAATTTGCCACAGGGTGTCACTGTTACTCTTGGCAAGGGAAGGACGGGGCTCAATGAACCTGTGTGATCCACAGACGCTGCAATCCCGCTGGGATCAGGGCTGGAAGTGTTACCATGTACTTTGATAAAAAGGAAAAAAAAATTCTAAAGACGTCACTCTGTAAAATCACAATAAAGGCAGATGATAATTAAGTAAATTATTCTGAGAATGATTGTGATGCTCCTTTAGACAATCTGTGAAGAATGTTGAGTGGGGACCAAATCTCTCTACTGCCTGTTCTGTCAGCAGAACTCTGGTCAACACAAACCACTAAAACCCCCAAGCAAAATCTCAAACCCAGGAAAAAAATCTGAGACTGTTCTAAAGCACTAGATCTTAAATCATGTACAGCTCAAAGAGCAACATGCCTTTCACACTGCTGCAGAGGTGCAGAAGGGGCTCCTCCAGCACTGCCTCCTGCTCTGAGACTGCCTTGGGTTGAAAGAACACAGGACAACCTCAACACCTACTACCAGATGTAGCTCTGAGCCCAGCACAAAGAACTGCTCTCAGTCTATGCAAGGATGCTTTGAGCTTTGAGCTCAGTGATGTACAGAGAACCAGGATCAAGTTAAGAGGAAAACTGAGTAGTAATTATCATAATACAAAAAACCTGAAATGTAGGGTGAGTAGGAATTGCTGGTGAGAGAGGAGAAAGGAGATTTGCTTCTAGTAGGAAGTAATTACAATAAAACACATCATGCACTGCTGCACATACTCTGAAGAGTTACTCTCATTAAACCTGACCTCAGCTTCTGCTAAGGCTCATTTTCTAACACCAGTGCTTCCATTCTACATGAGTGAAGCTGAAGCACACTGTCGATGAAGACATATTTCAGTGCCCGTGCTGTCTCATTGTTGTGCTGCCACTTCCTGATGGTATCAGGACAGTGAGGCAGGCACCCATCCTGCCAGGTGGCCTTTGTGATCTTGCCATCTCTGCTAAGAATAACTCACATGTTCAATAATTGCATATGAGAGTATATATGCAGCTGCATAAATAACACTGAATTTCCATGTCGTCCATGCTCTTTCATTCCTCGCTAGCTTTGAGAATTGTAATTTCAGGACATTCCAAGTATCTTGTCTTATATAAATCATTAAATTCAAGAAAAGCATAATGATTCAGAGCAGAGCTTTTAAAATGCAAATAACTGGAAACAACAAAAGTTAAAACATACTTTATGCCACTGCCATGCTTTGAAAAGATAAATGCCAGCCTGTTTACTATTATAAATAATAAACCTTGTTCACTTTACAAAGATCTTGCGGGGATTGATCACTTTGTATCTCATACAAGCTTGAATATGTGAAGTGCTGTGACCCAATTCCACATATGCTTTCCTTTCTGAGATTAATCTTCCTAAAATGAATGTGGCAGCTCACAGTGTAAACTGCTTGCTTACCATATTGCATGTATAATGTCTTATGCTTTGAAACAAAAGGGACTGCTGGTCTCTAGTATGGTCTCCTGGTATCTTAGAATCATAGAATAATTTAGTTTGGAAAAGATCTTTCATTAACAGCAAAATCTTAACATTTTGAGTTTCTAGTTATTGTGGACTAACAAGACAAAAAACCGAAT